TCATTGCGAAAGTCGTAAGAATAATATACATAAGTAGGCTAACCATAATATTTTACAAGTATAGAGACTTATTTTTTCAAATTGTTTACTCTATATACATAACCTTCACTCCGAAATCAACACGTCCATAAACTTCACTCTCATGATGTTTCCTTCGGAGATCGATACAACACTACTATAATAACCAAAAAAAATTATCATGCACAAGGATTCTCTTCTTCATCTCCGTCTAAAAACTTGACCATGTAATACTCTAGCCTCTTGACAACATCCTCCGGCAGCGACACCTGAACCCTAATTGCATCATAGTTTCCCGCGACCGGTAAAAACAAACAATATATATCACTCGTCAAAGGACCCATATACAATGGTTTTCCTCCTCCAAAGTCCAACTCCTCTAATCCCAATTTCGCCCATTGTGATATAACCAAACTGCATGAGACGTCTGTATTTACTGTTTTATCTTCTAGTAAATCCAATGTTGATCTTACATACTCATCGGTGATTCTCTCTTTCGCTTCTTGTATTGCTTTAACCGCGTGGTTTATATTACCATTGACTAGGTCTTGTACTTTGCTCTCAGCACAAGCTAGTACAAATCCATTACCATAATACCCTTGGGAAAGTTCCGGAGTTAGCTTTTTCCTTATATTAACAGAGAATAAGAGTTTTACCACCATGGCCAACGGTAAGTCAAGAGATCGAGCCCACGAGCGCCACGTGTGAGCAGCTAGTACCTCAAATGTGGTACATTTTAACGAGGGAGCGCATGTTTTCTTTAGTTGTAGGATAAGAGATGGAGTGAAGGTTAAGGTGGTGGGAATTAATGGTTGAGAATGTAAACACTTGCAAATGTCAAAAGTGGAGTTATTATTGTCTACTGTGCTTCGGGTGAAACCGGGATGTGAATGTGTAACACGTGGAGGATGTCGTGGATCTAACACGTGTCGGGAGTGGAATGGTCGGATCGGAAAATGAGCATTGGTGTTGGCATTGGCCCATGCATGTAGGAACTGTGACGTGCCGATGCCGTCAGAGAGGCAGTGATTGATCGCTGTGCAGAGGATTATACCCCCGCAACGGAGATGCGTCACCTATATATTAATCAACAACTTCATAAGTTTTCCATATTACTAGAATTTGATAGACAATGCCAATACCAATTTATTATTAAATTTGAGTAGTATTTAAGCGTCAGTATTTGAACATGCCGATGCAAAACTTCATAAAAACGAATTAATTAGAAATCATAGCATGAGTTAGACAGCAAGAAAAAATGACTTTTATTATACTTGTAAACAAGAAAATAAAGAAAGAGTAATATGAAATCGGTGAACAGACAAGTTTATTCTATATGATGTGCCCTTCTTTTTCTTCCCAACAAATCTCTTTATTAAAAGTTCACGTATTTTAAGAAGAATTGTGGTAGAAAAAAACACTTTATGTTTAATTTATACATCGAATGCGTTATGCACAACCAAGAAAAGTATGCACTTCTTGTTTCAAAAGAATAAAACTGGTCGAATCAATTTTGGAACCAATCTAAACTGTTAGCTTTTCCTGACCGGTATATATTTATTTAAACAGAACAGTCAATCCAACTAACTTTATGACACCTAAAATATTCGAGATATGTTTGTCCAAGAAAAATAACCATTCGAAATAAAAAACAAATTCTATAAACTAATATAAACATCAACTAATATGGATACAATCCGAGTCATGGTTTTGATATTCAAATTATAAGTTGCTAATTAAGCAAGAAAATAACCTGTATGACAAGAGGAGGAATATCCAAGAAACTCGGAGCTTGAACGTTGTACAAGAGCTTCCTCCAAGACTTGTTTGGTTTGGAAGAAAGCTGAAGAAAATCTTGAGACGTTATATCCATAAAACCTTCTGCGAAAACCGCGCCTTTTCCATTACAATCAACCTCGAGTTTGGTCGGGTCATCTGAAGCTCTGATCCGACCGGCGAAAGGGTAGTAATCGACTAAAACCCTAGAGAGAGAATCTTTCAGGGTTAGAGAAGAGAGAGGTTTTTGGAAAAGGTAAAGATACTTGATAGAGAATCTGAGAAAATGATGGTCGTCGAGGTTTGAGAGGTAGAGAGTTTGATTTGGAGTTGGTGATGTAGGAGTGATTAAGGTTGGTTGGTTTCCTTTGTACAAGCAATCCGGAAGTTCTTGCATCTTTCGTTTTTTTCTCTTTCACTTTGTTTTGTATTTATGCTCTCTTTTGCTAGAGAGAGAGAGATAATGGAGATGGTGGAAAGGGAAAGTAAGAAGCAAAGAGATCTCTATAGGCCAGGGAGAGATATAGGTGGTGGTTAAAGTTGGAATCCTCTTAAACAGAGTCACTCCTCAAATATATCGGACCCATAGCAAATTAAAATACCGGATCCTATTTTATAATAAACTAAACGAAATGCAAAACTTAAAATAGCTTTCTCA